TTCTCAGCCTAAAGCAGCCATAGTGGTTGTTGTCTATTTCCCCTTACAGCAGTAAGGGTTCCATTATCCAAGGAGGGCATGGGATGGGGCAAAAGACAGGAAGCTGATGATCAAGGAGAAGGAAATGGGCAGATACCACTTCCTATCACCTGGTTGCTAACAACCTCCAGGGGATGAGAAGGATCACACTTTCCAATACTGGCATTCACCCCTGTGGCTCTTCCTACCTTTTAGTCACCACATAACATGGGAGGATAGGACATGAGAAGAAAGAAAATCTAAAATCATGGAGGGGCAAGATACTCCCACTCCCTAGACACCAGCCCTGGGCTCCCTTCTCTCAGGAGGGATCCCTTTCCACCCTACCCCCTACTTTAGCCCTTAAATAAAACTTATTTTCTTGCCTCGGCGTTTTGGTGTTTGCTGAGGCTGGCTTTGAACTCGGGATCCTCCTGTCTCAGCCTCCTAAGCCACTAGCCAATCCTGATTTTTAAGAGTGGTTTCAACTGGGCCCTCACCATCTACCTAGGCATCCACACCACCTTCCCCAGGCTGCGTCTTACCCACGGCCTGGGCCCCAGAAGACAGGTCCAACCCACTCCCAGTGGGACGGTCATACCTGCTCCAGCCTTATTCTTCTGTCAGCAAAATAATCCTTGAGAAGATCTTCCAAAATGCCCTCCAAAAGTACCACCACGTCCTCAATCCACTACAAGTCTCAACTGTTTTAGCCCTTGACTGAAGAGTGGGTGTCACTGTGCTCTAAGCCCACGTTCCAGAGGCCATCAGTCTACACTCCCAGAGTGCCTACACCTGCTAAGCACTCATCTTGTTATCTGTAGCTGGTCACGCACAGACCCTGACAGCAAGCCACGGATGTGGTACCACGTGGATTAGCCCAGAGGGCAGGAGAAGCAAACAATTTAATTAAAAAAAAAAAACACAACATTCAGATAATTGTCCAAGGTCAAACAGTGACTATGTGAGCCCCCAAACGCCGAGGGGCTCTGTCTGGCTGGACTGGAGCCTGGGAAGCCCCTCCTCCTGTGGAGAGTCCCCAGGCTCTCACTATGTTTGTTCCCTTGCACATGGCTGAACACTGACTGGCTTACATGCTTCCCCGTCATTTGACTGACACTTGTGTCCTCCTTCCACCATTCAACTAATTAAAAGTCTATTATGAACCTTGACTCCTTGTTAGATATGCGACACATTCTTTTGTTTTCACTTCTGCCTGGCTACCTGGAAATGGGTGACTTCAGGGAGCCAGGGGGTTGTTTCCTTCAGGGTGGCCCACCATCACCCTGTCCTAAGGAGGCACGCAGTGCTCACCGCGCCCCCCACTCAGGGCTGCGGTCCCAGCCTCAGCGCTTCTCATGTCGCAGACGCGTCCCGGGCAGGAGACACATAAACACACAGAGCGCTCTCCAGCTGCAGCTTCTAATATTGTCATGCTGTCCAAAACTTTGATCTTTTGAGAACTGTTATGTGACCTGAGGTGAGAATGCAGTTGTATCCTTGCCATGCTGACAACCACATGTCCAAATACCGATGTGAATCCCTCTGCCTTGAAACGCCATATTTATCAAAACTAAAATCTCCAACTCATTGTCCAGTTGGGGCTCCTGTCCTGTTTCCTGGGTTATCTATTCCCCTGCAGTGCCTGTCTGTTTTAGCTAGTATAGTTTATATGTCAGGGGACAAATTAATCTTTTTATTTTCTAGGCAAACTGTAGAATTGGCTTAAATTTCAACAATCTCATTTTAATAACAGGGTTCAATTTTCAGATTAAGTTGGTGAAAAAGGACATCTATGGACCCTGAGGCCCTAGTGCAACCTCCCCACCATCCAGTCTTCTCCCTAGCCCTTCACAGATGTCGGAAATGTCCCCCAGGGAACATTCTAAGGACATCCCCAAGACCTTGGCTCTGTGGGGTCCCCAGCAGTGAGCTTCTCTACATTGTGTCCTGGGCTGGGCTGCAGGAGGGGAGGTCTCAATCCCCACACTTCCCACACCAAGCAGGGGAGCTAAGGGGTCCTGGGTGGCTTCACCATCGCTAGTGACCACCACAGAGTCCCTCACCAGTTCACCCCCGGTCTCCCACAGGCTTCCTGATCACCTAACAAGTGCTGGCACCTCCCTTCTGCCAGGGCGCCCTCTCTGTCCCCTCAGGCGGGAGGCCACTTCTCTCCCAGGAGCATGCAAAGCAGCATGGCTGGCTTTTCACTACTCAAGCCAGAAGATCTCATGCCCTTCAGGAAAACAGAACAGATGCTTCCTGAATGATGGCCCCATGGGCTCCATGGTTCACACACCTGACTGAGACCACAAACTTCCAAACCCCCACAGAGGCCTCAGCCCTCTATGCAGGGAGCCAGAATGTTCTCTAGTGACCAATGGCAGACAACTGAGGCTCAGAGGAGAGGAAGAAAAGCACATACAACAAAATGGTTCCCGACTCCACACCCTGTGCTCCTTCCACCCCACCGTCCCAAGGGGAGGGCTTGGCTGGAGAGTGGAAGGGGAAGGAAGCCCTGGAATCACAGCCCTCTGCCAACGGAGGGGAGCATCTTGTCCAAAGGACAGCCCACCTGAATACTCCTCTCAGGTCAGCACCAGCTCTCAGACGCCGGCTGGCAGGGGAGTCCTTCTGAAAGGCGAGTGACGCACCCAGATGGAGATTCAACCAAAAGATTTTATTGGGGGGCTGCCTAAAGGGGAAGGAAAGGAGAGGCAGAGAGGAGAGGAGGAGGGCAGAGAGCATGAGCTTGCAAGGTTGTGTAGGCGACTTGGTGGGTGCTGATTGGAAGGGTGACTCAGAAACTGTGAGCGGACACTGTGTCCTGCAGGGATTGGTGGAGAAAACTTTTGAATTTGGCGCCCTTCAGAGAGGAGGGGCAGGGGTCAGGGATTGTGTGATGTTCTCGGGACTGTCGGCCAAGGAGGAAACCCTCGCCAGCACCCTGTCCAGTGAGACCAGGAAGCCCTGCCAGTGTCTGAGGTCCCGAGGCTCCTGCACATTGCCGGATGGGGCTTAGGGACCTCCGGGGAAAGCAAAGGATCCGGGCAGAGTCACGAAGACCACAGTACCCACACAGGGCACCTCGTGCTCAGAGGCTGTCCCTTCATGGCCACAAGCCATCGGAACAGGCTTCACAGGCCCCTGCATCACTCATCACCCAAATCAGCGGGGAGGGAGGCACTCTGTCATCACACAGGTGCAACTCAGGCCCAGCTGGACGGTGCCCAGGGTGGATGGCGAGGGTGGCGGAAGCACCCTCACGAGGCCTGAGACCCCAGGAGGCCCCGCAGGCCCAACGAGCAGCACTGCAGGCACCTGCGCAGTGGTGGGGACGTCAAGCAGTGGCCTAAGCATGCTGTGATTTATGTCACAGCACAAGCCAACTTCAGTTTTTGCTGAGAACAGAAGGGGAAATTTAAGGGTGTGACGCAGAGCGAGGTGGATGCTGCCAACCCCGCTGCGACCTTGGCCAGGCCCTGTGAGGTTGCACCCTGGGGAAGCCTGCGGCAAGCTCGCCTCCTGAACTTTTGCCTTACCAGAAAGACTGATTTGCCTGGTTTAAGAAAAGGATGATCCATTTGATATGCAGCTGTAAATAGTCTTACAAGTAAGTTTCATGGTTGAAAACCCATTTAAACTGCTTTTCTCTTGCTGAATTAATAAAAAGAACACAGGATTTCCTTGGTGCAGAGCTCCCCTAACTGTGCAAGGTCCTGAGTTCCATCCCCAGGTTATGGATGGCACAGTGGTGCCCCGAAAGCTCCGGAGCGAGACAGTGCCAGGACGTCCAGAGGGGAAGGCTGGGACCCAAGCACTGGACCAACCCTCCGCCAGCGCCGAGCTGGTTGGTGACTGCAGGCAGGTAGGTGTGGCTGCACAGTCACTGAGGGGCGCCTTTGAGCAGAGCTCTGCTTCTTGGCTGAGCAACTGCCCTCCACGCACCCTTCCGTCACCACATTCTTCTGCCTCCCTGGGGCCCAGAGCTGTGAGCTGGCTGACTGCTGACTGGACCTCTGAAATCATGAACTAAAATGAGCTTTCCCTCCAAGTTGCTCTTGTTGGGTCTTGGTCACAGTGACAAAAGGCTGACTAAAACACCCCAGTCGCTCCCTGTCTCTTTCTTTCTCACACACACACACACACACACACACAGTCCTCCCAGCCCCTCCATGACAACACAAGCTGGAGGTATCCTGATCAGGGCTCCGCTCATGCCAGCTTGTATAAACTGCTGACCAAAACTCCTCGTGGAAAAACAAGCCCCAGGGTCAGAGTGTCCTGGGAAGATCCAGGGGCAGCCCCCAGGTACCTGGAGCAGCAATGCTGTCCCCTCCGCCAGGCCGCTCACCTCCTCTGACATGCCTAAGCTCTGCTTTGCCACACGGGACCCTGCGGAACACCAGGGGCAATCACAGTGGTCTCCTCTGAAGGCCTCTGGATGAAGTGATGAGCTGTCTGTGCCCCTAGGAGTGGACAGAAGCTCCCTGAGCAGGAGCCTCGTCCAGGACTGTGATGATAACAGATGACCCTGTCTGCAGGTGGCCTCTCTTTGAAACAGGTTTATGTGTGCACCTTCTGCCAACTGTTTATTCAAGACCCAGAGAAAGGTCCTGGCTGTCCTTTCTCTCTTGGGGTGCCATGACACCAGGCACAACACACACAACCTAGTCCAGGGCAGTGTGCAAACCAGCCCAGGCACATTCAACTAGATCCCCCTCTACCCAATCCCAAAGTGCACCCGTCCTGGAGGATGCCTTCTGCCTTCACAGTCTCAGGAGATGTTTCCTTTAAAGGCTGATTATTGAAAAGGAAAACAAGCATGAACATCAAAGTGGAAAGCTTAAATTTTAGCCTTGAACTATTTTTTCCAAAGATTGACACATCTCCTTTGAACATAAATTAGTGTCACTGAATTGGTAAATGCAAACTCCTGAAGAATAACTCCAGAACTTATAAAGCACAGTCGAGGAAAACACTTAAGAATTCCATTGGTATATTTCCTCAAAATGTTAATAAGATGAGGATTTAATTTGTTGATCATAAGATACAGTGATAGCTACATGCAGAGACCTTCACGAGCCTTATAAGTAGTCTTAAAATTTCTGGTAAATACTTACCTGTCTTATAAAACTTCAGTTAATTTAGAAAAGGGGTAAGTGTCACAACAGGAATGAAAAGATGTATTTTTCTACATACCTTTGAAAACTAAAAATCCAAATGCTTATGATTTTTCCATGTGTGAAATGAATTGTACAATCCATACACTTATAAAAAAAATAGGTGATCACTTTTACGATTTACATATGAAAGAAAAATAAACCTTATGATACAATGTGATAGACCACTTCACACAAAAGTCTGCTCACATACAATGTATGCAATTTCTGCAACGCACAAATCCTATTCACAGGGACAAAGCCATGAAAGGCGTGCGGCTTAACCTGAAGCAAACAGGGACCACTTGGGATCACCGCTGAGCCACTCAATTCAGTAGCAAAGAGACTATAAATACCTGAAGGACTGTAACCAACAGCCCCTCCCACCACAACCCTGTGTCCTGGGAACTGGTCAAAAATAACTGCAAGATGCAGGTGGGAAGGAGAAGCAGCAGTGCCACCACAGGGTGAATCTCCAGCACCTGCTCCTGAGCCAGGCAGCTTGGGAGCCCACGGCCGCCCAGAGAGGGTTTGCTCTGGACCTAAAACAAGCTGTGCTGCCATTGCTGACCCTTCTCAGCAATGCTCACGTTTGATGCAGACTCCTCAGTGGAGGGAGAAGGACCTGGATCCGGCCCTCAGGACCTGCAAGTATAACTCCACACACAAACCCTTCCCACAGGAACTGAAGACCTTTGTATGCATTTGCAATATTGTATTTAAGTGGAAAACTAAAAAAAAAAAAAAAAAGTTTTAAAAAAATTAATAACTTTGCTTTAAAAAGCAATTTCCAAAAAAAGTGGATAACATCAAAAAATTTTAGGTATTGTTCCATCCTCCTAAGTCTTCTTCTTGTGGCTTCTCCTGAGGGACTGCCTCTCAGGTACACAAGCCTGTGCAAGGAAAAGGAAGATGTTGCTGCCTCTCACAGAAGGGCTCCTCCTACAGGAACGCAGGGTTCTGCTCATGCTGACCGGGGACACCCAGGGCAAGGCCATGAGGAAAGCAAAGGTGTCCCTGTGGCAACTCCATACCAGAGGAGGCTCTGAACAGCCACCCTGAAACCTCTCTTGTCCACTGTGAACTTGGAGGGCCAGACACACAAGCACAAGTTAACAGGGCCCCAAAAAATGACCTCATAAGGACGCCCATGCGCTCACGAAGGAGAAAATAACCCGGCTTCGGCACACACCCAAGGACACGGGCTCCCGTCCACCCTGCTCAGCTGGAAATCTAAAATATAATGTGATCGTTTTCAGGCCTCATTCTGTGTATGAAGTGCCCATCAGAAAGTTCATGGTGACCCTTCGCTTGGGGCCTATGCAGTAAGCCCTGACTCAAAAACCAAAATAAAGAACATCTCCTGGTGCCGACAACGCTTACCTGCATGAGAATTCTGATATAGGACTAAATAGGCTACAGAGAAAGAGAGAACAGGCTTGCAAAAAATACCTCCCACAAAGGTGTTCTGAAGAGCATTTATAAACAACGGGGGCTCCAGCCGGGAGGGGCACAGGCCTCCCGACACACTCTATGTGCAGGCATTTCAGAGCCCGGAAGCTTCCCGACGGCCACGCAGCCCACAGTACTTCCTCCCGACGGCGGGCCATGCGGACACAGCACTTCCTCCCTGGAATCCTCGGCATTCACCTTCGAGACGTCAAGTTGATACTGTACACCATCTTCTGGATTTTCTCTTCGTTCTTGAGAATGTTGGCCTTCACAGCACAGATCTTGTCCTGCTGGTCCTTGATCATCTGCTCCAGCTCAGCCAGCTCGACCTTCAGGGGCTCCACGGCACAGTCCGTGATACTAAGGGAACACGCCAGCGCACATCAGCCTGCCCTCATTTTAGATCTGCTTCTTAATAACCCCCAAAAGACAGCACAAGTCAACTTCTATTGCAGCCAAAGAAAAAGGGTACGATCTAAATCTCTGACCCTGATGACAAGAAGGAGCAAACCACTCACGTCTGGACAACCTTTATTTCGCATTTCCGCAACCCCTGCCACGGCCAAAAGAGAAGTCAAATAGGAGACTTACTAAAGGAGGCCAATGTTTCCTAAATGATGGGACTGAAGTCCTCAAATTATATACTTGACAGAGTCCCAGGGCTGGCCAAGAGGTGCACAGCAATTTCCCCATGGACACTAAGGACCACCATCTAGACCAGTCCCTTCCTGTCAGAGGACAGGAGGCCTTGCCACAGGAAGAAGCTTGCCAAGCCAGTAGGGCCTTCTGTGCCAGGCTCTCATCTGCTGCACTAAATAACGGGAGCAAGGGAACTAACATGACCTTGGGAAAGCTGAAGTCAAAACTAACCTTCCCTTTATGGTTTGTTGTTGTTGTTTGGGGGTTTTGGTACTAAGGATTGAACCCAGAGGCACTTAACCACTGAGCCGCATCCCCAGCCCATTTTATTTTTTATATTTTGAGACAGGGTCTTGGCTAAGTTGCACAGCCTGGCTTTGAACTTGCAACCTTTCTGCCTCTGCCTCCTGAGCAGCTGGGATTATAGATGTGTGCCATCATGTCCAGCCCATTTTTTTTAAACATATATTTTTAGTTCTTGATGGGCCTTTATTTTATTCATTTATCTATATGTGGTGCTAAGAATGGAACCCAGTTTCTCACATATGGTTGAGCAAGTTGTCTACTACTGGGCCTCAACTCTAGCCCCCCTTTAGGTTTTTAAAGCATAAAATACAAACTAAAATATACAACAAAGAAGAGCAATAATTTTCTATCATAACACAAAATCGGGTTTTGTAAGGAAGAACTGTCAAGAATGTTTTTTTCAAATACTTTAAATCAAAATGTAGGGGCTAGGGCTGGGCTCAGTGGTAGCACACTCGCCTGGCACTGGCTTTTAATTGTCAGCACTGCAGGTAAATAGCCTCTACTCCCTCTGCAGGCCCCTCCCTCCCCTGCTCCCTCTGCAGGCCCCTCCCTCCCCTGCTCCCTCTGCAGGCCCCTCCCTCCCCTGCTCCCTCTGCAGGCTCCTCCCCACCTCTGCTCCTGCAGCAGGCCCCCCACCTCTTTCTCGTTTTGCCTCTGAAGAGTTCATCACTCACTTCCGTGTGCCACAGCTGCAGTTCGTTCTGCATGGCGTCCACATCTTCCTGGATGTAGTCCATAATCTTTCCCAGAGGAAGCGCGCTCTTACACAA